AAAAACGTGTCCTAGAAATAGGATAATCAATACTATAGCAGGGAGCTATATATACAAGATGATAATACGTACTGGACACGGTATCCTAAAATTCTTGGGTTGACCTAACTAGCGTAATGATAAAACGGATATGAAAATCTGGTGCATTACGTCTTGAGACCTGGGACGCTCCTGATTTTATGTAAGAATGGCTCCACGATGTGTGCTCTTAGTATTTGATCGAAAAGGTCGAGTGGTCACGTAGGAAAATTACCGGATAGATTGGACAAGAGGTCCATATTGATGCTTATTTGTAGGCCTCAAAAGAATTCTTAGTATCAAACCCCTATTATTCAATACTGAAAGCGCATATAGAGACCGATACTATTAATCTTTGGCCCCCAGTTGCACCCGCCTACCCGCCGTCCGACAGATAATCCCTGGATTTCTTTCTGAAGCAGGCTAATTTTTATTTTCCGGCGATAGCCCCTGATCGCCAGTTTCTCAGCATATACCCTAAACCTTGCTCCTTTTTTTGTTTGGCATGGAAACATTTCGCCTTCTATACAGCGTATGTTTCCCGAAATTCCTTCGTATTCATGCATGAATCTAGTGATAAGAGCTTAGTGTTCTTACCTCAATCTACTTCCCGACTTTCCAGCACCATGGCTCATATGATAATCTTCTAGGGTTGCCACATCCACCTAAGACATTGAACTGTTATTCCGTCTCTCAAATATGGGAGATTGGACCACGTCTCCCGGGGCGATATCAGATGCAGCCTGTCAATTGTAACTTTGACTCGGGCCGAGGGTACAACGGCCCATAAATTCCTTCTGAAATTCCTATTCTTACCCTAGAACCAGCGATCCTTTTTGTTTTTTCATCGATCTTCCGCAAGAGATATTGCCTTTGGCGTACAGCCTTATAACAACGCCTAGCACAGTTATACGTCTTGAATCCCATCAGACAATAGTTCTAAAATCTACAAGGCTTCTATACGCGATACCGGTTGAATTGCGGCGGTGGACCCGAACATAGTGGCTACGATTGCTTATCCGAGAAGCGTACCTTGTGGAAATCTCTTTACAAGAAATGCGCATATTGAAAAATACTCTTCTTTTGATTCAGCTACGTCATTTGAGAATGAGAATTTTGAATAAACTAGAATAAACATACTGCGAGAATGATTGATAGATCTAAAGATACAGTCTAGCATGGAGTAATGGTATCCTCCCTACTTCATTCCCCATACAAGTTTCGAAACACATACAATCTAAAGAAATGAAAAAACAAATATAAGAACTCCGTTTCCCTTTACACCGAAAAACAGTTAAACATCCTCCACACAACTTATTTACAATCCTCTCATTTTTTGCACAAATGGTCAATTCCTAAAGATCCCACGTGCTTTCAACTCATTCTGTGTGGCAGTTCTTGTATAGATAACATATGCATCCTGTTGGGGTTCCAACTGCAAATATCGTTCCATAGGATTCGCAGGGCCGGGGCTGGAATTATCTTGGATGAAAGCTTCTTCTCGGACGATAGAGGCATCAATTGGGGGAATTGCAGTGCCGGCTCGAGCGGCGGCGAGCTGGAGATTAAGTTGACGATTGCCTTCCATGCGACGTTCGGAGTGCTGGGCATCGCCTTGAACAGACATCTCGATGGATAAACGACTTTGTTTGGGACTTAGAATCCGAGTGTGATATCTAGATTGAAAGGTAAGTAAGATTATCTATGAAGTGTAATTTGAAGGCTATTATCTACCTAAACGATAATCAATTGATATTAAATGCGAAGAAGGAGAGTAATGGTAATAATTTGTATGTTGGTCGATCTGACGTGGATGTAGATACTTTAAGAACACTTATTGAATAATAGCTAATGGGATGATTTTGAAATAGACAGAAAGGAGCGAGAAACACCGTATTTATAAACTGACATCTTTACAAAAAACAAAACATAGCATCAAGGGTCCAGGTTCAAGCCAAATCAGCTCATCCTAGAGTAAACCCAATGCAAGCTCAAAGCTGAGACCACCTCAAATTAGTTACGTTACCGTTTCAAGATATCTAGTAGCTTAGGTATAAGGACGCAAAATAATAATAATTACTGACTTAGCTTTCGAATGCCACATCGATAGCCCAGAGTGATCTAGGTAGCACCGTGCAAGGCCGGGATTGACGGCCCGCACATCCGTCTTCCGCTTAAGTCTCAAAACGGTAACCAGGAAATCCTCATTTGACATGATTTCCTCCCGTGTCTACCTTACGATGCTACGGACGACTTCAAGGGCGGAGCGACGGCTTGCTGTGGACATTTCGAAATGAACCTGTCTGCAAGGGGTCTTTCTTTGCTCGCCTCACCTTGTATCGATGGCATGGTATAGCACGGCATATGCATAGAAGTGAAAGAATAACGCCGAACTTCCGAGGCCTGGAAAAGAAAAAGAAAACTGTTACGGAAAAACTTTATACCTGAGTGTTAACGGTGGTAAGGTAGTGTTAATGTGGTGGAAGAGAGCTCAACTGCACTAGGATTAGCGTTCGTCGGTGCGGATAAACCCCCACGACACCCTCCCATATCTACTCTAACCACCACCTCCTATAATTTACCTTGTATGCACCACATGGAGACATATACTGGTAGAGCGGTACCTAGGTAAGCTGGCAATGCTGCAGTTAGACACGATTGCGTTAGAGGAATTGAAACGTAATATGTTAACGGTATTAATAGAGATAGCAATAGCACCTGTTTCTAAATGCGGGCTTAATTTTCTTAAGATCTAAATTATAGTGATGAGGCTCTTTCCTGGAATATATCTTTAAAAGGGATCGTCAGGACCTAAGACTTTAGGGTAATTCTAGGTGCGAGGCCGTCAATTGGTCGAGTTAATTAGTCAGCAACCTATGTGAAGACCCACTGAGCATGCAATCCAGATATCCAACATGCATTTCTTGGCCTCAATATTACATTGCCGAGAGGTGTTCGTCTGGTCTTTTTCTATAGGGTACTATAGGAGGTGCATCCACATAACAAGACATTAGATATTGGCTCAATCCATCCGCCTTTCCGTGTACATAAAATCTAACCAATCCGTGGTAGGCAACTCGCCCGTGCACATACAAAGTTTGAGCGAGTGAGAGATCCGATATAGGCTCAATTACAGACTCAAGCTTTTTCTTATTTCCTTTGAAGTAAAAATAACACACATACATGTAGATATATCGACCGATATTCATCGTAAAAGCCCTCAACATAACCGGCTCATGGTGTGTACGAGCCGGAAGATTTTACTTGTAGGTACATTCAATATCGGAGGTACACCATCATCAATACGTCAGTCGAATTCAACCGGGAGCGCTCTCTCAAGGCTGGGAGAATCACTTAGCATTGAGTGCTGTCTTTGATCTCAGGCTATCACGACCATGGGCCTTCTCATTATCTCGGTTTCATGGCAATTATTCAAGACAACTTTTCACATGGGATCCGAACGTTGTAACGCCTAACATGCAGGACAATTCGATATAAGAGACAGGGAGCGGAAAAATACAACCCTGTCACGATTTCAATGGCCGTGCGCCTTTTCTGCCTTTTTTGAGTCTTTAGAGTAGGTAGAAGGCGTCAAATTTTCAATTCTCAAGATATTTTTACAGATAAGACTGTGCTGGACGTAGAGCGGCTTCATTCGTCATTTCAACTTCCTCTCTCGAATTTCTCGACCGATAGGGCGCTGCTCATCAGTGGCGCAACTCAAAAGCTACCACAGAAGGAAAAGATAACAAGCGAGGAGATAATAGATAATCAGCGTGCCGTCGGTCAGGAGCAGCTCATTCATATATTCTTATCACTTGATGTTAAATAGACCTGGCTACAAAATTGTTCAAAGCTCCATGGCCAGCTTCGGACAAGACCTACAATGGAGCTCGGTTGGCAATATTCACCCCACCGGTTTGAAACGGGCCGGCCCACAGGAAACTTACTCCGTTTTGAACTTTTCAGACTACTACCGCACACTGATATAAACTGAAGTTAGGGTTCGGAACGACGGGGTTGAGTCGCGGGGAATTAGAGAAATGGAATTTGAGATTCACGGCAAGTATGATACCTAGTGTACCTCTAACGTTGGTGTGTAACGTCCGATCAGCTAGGCCGCTTTTTTACGCGTACGTGCAACCCCGGCATTTCCCGTCGTGGAACATCTAGATCTTGTTCCGATTTCTGCAGGTGTTCCCCCACAGGAAGGTCCGACCTGGATTAATTACAGTGGTATTCTAGGGAAAGGGACTGAGTGCATAACTGACGAGAGAGTGGTGATACATGACGGAAGTTATGTACCCCCACCACAACTTACGACGCTTAGGCATAAACACCAGCCACTTTAACAGAGCCGCACGGTACTAGGAAGGTACTAAATAGCATTAGAGGGATGCATATGATGCTTGCATATTCTTTGGAGGAGCACCTGGATTTTTGACGATGTGCTCGCTTTCTACTGGCTGAGAAGATCCTCAATTACGATTCTGTTGACTTCACATAGTTAGCCAGCGGAGTGACAGGGATTGTTGATCCCGTTCTGCACTGTCTTCCCGGATTGTACTCCGTAGCCGATTCAAAAGAGTCATATTACGAGAATTCAGACAATGGGCTCAAAGTACTCGTATTCAACGAGGTAGAGAGTAGAGCGGTGAGTCACGTCATAACAATATATTAGGTCCCGACAATATTGATCCTCCTTGGGTGAAATTCCTGCAAGTTCAAAGATCGGAACATATCTTTTAATCAATATTTCAATCAATTAAGACGCGCCTGGTGGCCCTGTTGCTGAGGTTAGTGCTTGTCTGAAATTACAAATTAGGTATATTTTGAACTACTATTTCTTCATGAAGTATTCTAACATATGCATATGATTGTTAAAGATATCAAAGTTTCCCGCTACAACTCTGCTTCACTGTATCCTAGCTAGGATCATTGAAATATCACTATAATATCAGCTGTAAAAGTTCACTGTAGATATGACAGCTCACGTCCTGCAAACTACAAATACCCAACAAACTACAAGTGAGAAAAGTGGTGTTCAAACAGCTCATACACCTTATCCCCACACCCTAACCTTTGAGAACTTTGTAAAACGTCATGTACCGGCATTGAAAGACGCAGCTCGAAAAGGCGAGCCACTGCCGTTTCCTTCTAGAGCACGCTTTATGGGCACCTTGAAACTGCATGGTTATAACGCCACAATCGTGAGTAAACCTTCCGCTCTTGCCCCGGTAGGATGCAGATAGCACCTGTTATCTACACAGAAGCCAGGAATATTAGCATTAATTGACATTTATCTTCAGATATTCAGGCAGAATGATACACACAACCCGACTTTCCAATCCAGGAACAGGGTCGTAACCTCCCAAGACAAAGGCCCCATACCGTCTCAGCTCTCGAATCGTCCACTCCACTTGCTCGTCGAGGCTGCTATGAGGATCTACACTTCGTCAGCATCCCTGCCTGCCGATACCCCGTTTTCGGAGGTTATGATTGCAGGGGAGGTTGCCGGGCGTGATATCTACCGAAATGTGGCCATAAACAGGATCCCAAGGTTCTTTTGCATATTTAATATCAGGATTGATGGGGTGTGGGTTGATATGCGCCGATACGCCGATGTATGTCTACCCGAGGAGCGTATCTTTAACATTATGAATTGGAAGATATGGGATGTGGTGATCGATTTCTTCGAGGACACGACGGCTGTTTCCGAGTGGCTTTACGAGATCACGGCAGAAGTTGAGAAGAAGTGCCCCTTTGCCGCATCATTTGCAGACTCGGCGGGGAAAAAGATATCAGGAACTGGCGAAGGTTTAGTGTGGACGATGATTCCATTCGAGGGCGAGGATTGGCCGCCGAATAGGACCATGTTGTGGAACTTCAAGACAAAGGGAGAAAGGTTTGAGGTAGTTAGCAGAATTAAACCGACCCCACCGAAAGACCCCGATGCATTGAAACTCGCAAGTGTGTTTATCGATCATGCGATCACGGAGGCACGGTTTGAACAGGGGGTTGAGTATCTGAGAGAGATGGAGCTCCTGGAGCAAGGAAAGGGTAGCACAATGCAGTTTGTCAAGTGGATAGAGAACGACGTGATTGAGGAGGAGTGGGAGAAGATGGTGGAGATCGGAGCTGAAGAGAAGAAAGTGAGGGGTGTGATTGGGACCCGGGCGCGGGAATGGTTCTTTCGATATCTAGATGAAGCCCAGGTGCGTGGAAGCGGGAACGGCTATGCAGCCGGGAAAGTTGGTAGCGACGAGGAGACCGGCAGACGATTAGGTCCAGCAAGTACATAATTATAACCTACTGCACAATCAATGTGCAGGTGTGCTGAGTGGAAATTGGAGATATCGTCTTTATCTTCGGATTCCTGTTTTGGAGAATCCGCATGAGTACCAGTTTTCACATTTCGATAATACCCATTCTACAAAATTTTTGGCTGCTGTCGATTGACCGCAGGAGCGCTAAAGACAGATGATTTACCTTCATGATTGGAGGATTGGACTAGTTCAAAATTGAGCCACACCCAGCAATATTTGGAATTTTGATATCTCCCCTGTCAATGATATCTTACCCGGGGGTTCCCAGCTAGCTGCCGCTGTAATTCTCGCTACGCGAGGTGAACCGGTGAACATAAATTAGATACCTAGAATACTCTATGTAAAGGAGTCTAACTCCTGATAGTTACCTGGAGTCTTACTGGGGTACCCAGGACAAAGTATCTAGCCGCCAGTCCTAGACCGACCGCATCTCTTTCTGCCTACTTGAACTCTTTGCCGCTGGGGACTTTAAACGAGCTTAGCGGGGCGACGCGGTTTCATACCAGGGGAAAGATTACATGCAGGGCACCTCATGCTCAGGATCTCAATACTGATTTGATATGGTTTGTGGTGATGTGTCAAATGCGGTGGATACGGCGATGGCATGGCCGGCCGGCGGGGTGCTAATAGGCGTCGCCATGCCAACCGGCGTCCACCAGAAGCTTCTGAGGCCAAGAGGTTATATTACTACATATGTAACTGGTTGAAACATTGACCTTCTGAGACCAACTAAAGTACCGTAGTAGCTGGATAAACAACTCACGCCACAGATACCAATAATTCTGATGTTGAATGTTGATGTTCTAGATACGATATGTAGCCAAAGGACTGATTCTACATGTGTGACTGGTAACATGGAATCTTGGCGGCCACGTGGGAAGGTTTCTGCTGATATGGGTCCCACCGATTTACATCTAATCCTATCGTCCGCCGTGGAAAAATCAAATAAGACCTAGTACCTATATGGAAATTTTCTTTGCTATCTACAAGTTAGAATACCGGTGAGGTAGATATGACTCTCGCATGATTAGTATGAGCTCGAGGAAAGAACTAACGACCAATGCTACCACGATACGGCCCCTCTAACATATTACATGTAGACGATACTAAGAGAAATTGAACAGAAAGATCTCGAAAGGATAGTAAGATCTTTCTATGATCCATTTCGTATAATGGACGTGTGGGTTTTGAATTCAGTGGAGGGCCAAGAAATACACCAACAGAAGCTTAGAACGATATCTAATACCATCAATCACCAATGATGAATTAAGAGAACTCCGTATGTTCTCATGCTATAGATATTCTTGGATAAGGTGTGTGAAACAGAACTTATTAGCTGGTCATGACTAGAGTACAGTAAAATGCCGTCAGTTCGCCGGGTATGTGGGGGGTACAGTGTAGATGGGCGTCATATCCAGACGTCGAGAACGCCTCTATCTATACATACAGCGCGCCACTGTTTCTTATCCTACATGAGGCTTTGAGTGCGCAGGATTATGTACTCGAGTATAACTATACTAATGATTATCCAATACTTAGTACGACGTTACTATAGCTATATACCAGTGTTCATATAGCTTTTTCCGGAAGTTCTGTTCCGGTGGAATTCTTTTAGGTCATGGCCCAATATGACTGTAGATCACCCCAATATAACATCGGTTAAGGTCACTGTGCCCTAAACGGCCTGAAATAATATGTGAGGTATTATTCCCATTTAAGTGATATAGTAATCCTGCGGTACCCTATGACAGGGCTAGATTTTCTTTTCCGAGAACGGCCATACATCCAAAACCTTCCGCTCAATGGAACCCTCCGTCGGTGGCATTATTATAGTGCTCGTAGAGTCTACCCTACGCCTGCAGCCAGCAATCTAGCTATCGAAATACTCAACAATTAAGTCATAAGCGATTGCATAGTGTCTATCAGTTTAAGCATCAGCCGAGACATCAAAATAGGCAGAGAGGGTAATGATCTTCGCGCAAGAAATACCGGGGCGCTGAGACGCTGGAAACCGACAAGGAGGGGTCCCAAGGCGCCGGCTTTGCGAGTACGACGGGATCTCTTGCATGGATATATGGCAGTGACGTATCCGTATATTGCATCTAAATCTCCCATATTAAAATTTTGGCCTTCCTCAGCTGAAATAATGTAATTATCGCATGTGTACACACATGCTAGAACTCATCAACCCGGCGCCTATAAGTCTGCATGGCCCACCAAGAAAAATATATGCTGTGTTAGTTGACTTGCGGCGCGCGCACTATTGTACTCGGAGAATTCCTTGAAGAAGCACAAATGCGCAACTAGAGAGAAGTTACTAAACAAGTATCATCACTGGTATGTACGCGCGATTAATGAGACTATTAGCCGCCAAGGCGTGGGAATTATCCTTTCGAGTGATATCTCATGTCGCAATTCCGCCACTCATTGACAATATCCATATCGAAGGAGATTTATGATCGATCTTAATACGCTCTGACTAGGTTATGTTTCTGATCTAATTCCTTCTTATCTATCTTCGGAACCTCTTTTTGTATGATAATCCTTAAACCTGTACAGCAAAAGCTACTTAGTACGAAAGATAGGGGCTCTCTCACCGGCATAGACAAGGAGTCCATATTTCTCTAGATATAAGAAGAGAAGAATCTTTTGAAGGTGGATCTAAGACTGATCATTCATATTCTTGGCGAAGCTCAATAAAATAAGGTTAGGGTTATAGAATCTTTGCTATGACTCAAACCAGTAATCGAACTCTGCGCATACATCTCTTCTCTGCTACTATATATTTTAGAGGCAGCCTCCCGATTGTTAGATCTACTGAACAATACTACGGCATTTCCCCTTTTACATATTAGACTTTTTTACACTTGTAAGTTGCGTTAGATGCCATTTTCTAAAAAGGTATGTATGTGAAAAGGAATGAGAGTTGGTGACTAGGCGCGCACATTAATAAATCGCCCCTGGGAAAGAAGCCACCATGGGGATTGTCTGAAGCTTTTCATAACTGAAGCGTTGAAGAAAGCTTCCCGATATAAGTTAGCTAGCTGAGCTATAGCTATATATAGCTATATATAAGCTAGCTGAGCTACAGGTGCTGTAGCTACATATAAGCTAGTTGAGCTATAGCTGAGCTAGCTAGCATGATCATGAGCTATAGCTGTAGCTATATACAAGCTAGACGTTGAGCTTAGCGATATGTAAATACATGTATGTAGACAACTTTATCGACTTTCGGCCTCCGAAAAGTTTCGCGCCTCATGTCGGGCCGCCTTGGTTTTGGTGGTTGTTGACATGATCCAGTTTTATATTACCCACCGAGTTTGGTACTGTAGTAGGGGGATCTCTGAGTCGTAGTCGACGGTATTTAGGTAATAGCGTAGCGGCAATATTTGCGTAGACACGACATAGATACGCGACCACAATAAATGGAAACTAAAGAAGTAGCCCTGGCTAAAAACAGTTTGTTTTGTTTTGTTTTAGGAAGACATAATAGGAGGTGCGGCTCGCGGGGACCGATCGCGGTCCGGTTGACAGAGTACTCCGAGATATATGGCTCGGTGTGCAATCATCTAAATAATTGGAATTGTGGTGTTTAACGCAACTCCACCAATTATCCTTTATACCGTCAGCCTTAATCTCAATCGTTTTGCTCAATGAATCGGATGCGGAGGTTGGATAGAAAAACTATATAAACGCAAACTTGTATGTAGCTCCTAAATCCTTGCTGGCTATTCACCTGCGCCTCATTATCGCTTTTCTGCGCGCGATATAAGCAACAGCAACAGCAATGCGACTGCGTCATGAAATATCACTCAGCGCTTGTATTTAAACATTAAACTACTATATCTGTACCTGATTGACTCAATGTTAGTTCTGTGGCATAGCATCCAAGTTAGGACAAAATAATTGCAGTTTGAGTATTGTAGGCCCTGTAGTGCTGCGAGTATAGCCATCATAGATGGAGCAGTAATGTTTTCAGTATCATAGTGCCGAGAGTCGCGTTAAATTATAAAGCTACATATATAGGCTGCGTTTTGCAATTAGTACGTTGTTCTGATATCAAAATATGCCAGAAAGATGGCGGGGTCGGTTACATAAAAGTTCTTTGGTCCGGATCTTTTCCCAGAACATGGGTACATATCGTGTAATGTTTGGTCAAGAGATTAGCTAAGAGAATGGGATTTACGATGTTGCGTAGTATACGATGATCGCAACACCGTATAATCATTACTTTGTTGTAGCCCTAAAACTCGCGTTAGCTAACTTAAACTTTGTGCATCTCGGCCATGATATTAGGGCTTTTACCAGAGCTTAAATACATGTAGTACTGAAATTGGTTGCTAGAACACTAGCACGAAAAAAAAAAAAGAAAAGAGAGAGAGAAATAGAGCAAAATTCACAATTTCGATATCGTGATGATGAGTTGAATATATATCATGATCTTTCGTTGCGGAAGGACGCGCCCTGAATACGGATTATCTTGTGTATATTTATACTTAGCTAGCTCCTTATCCTGCTAGATCCAGTCTCTATCATAGGACGTGGGGTGTACATGTGGCTTTTCCGTGGATCATGAGAGTTGGCCGCGGAGGTCTAGAGTATTTGTACAGATTTGGATATATGTGTTCGTCAGTATAACGTCATATTCTGGTTACGTGCTCAGCCATTATACATAAACCACGCGTATATATAGCATCCTTTTGGCACTCTCTCTGCAGTCAATCAAGCAATTAATTGCAACTAAGTCAGTCTTTACTTTCATACTTTCGTTTCTACACATACGAATTCTAGGGCCTACGGTCGTTACATATATATTACTATACTTCAAATACACGATCCCACAACCTTAAGGGTCTACTATATTCGCCAACTCACCGCCCGCCGCCTTCCATTGACGCTTCACCCGCCGCTTGTTTCAACCACTCAATCACGGTACTAGAATTCAAATACCGACACAATCACCGATGGGGTATGTACAAGTCACGGCATATCATGCTATCGTCGTTTGAAATCTAACACCATTTCTTTTTACATCGGCCAAGCTTATTCAAAAAACCAGTTTCTGGTCCGTCTATCTATACACTAATACCAGTAGAGGAGATCCAGGGGGCAATCAAGACTAGGAAACTCGTTTTGCAGCTCGACAAAATGACGCTCGAGCTATACCATAGCACATCAAGCCACATAGTCATAGATCCCGACGACCCAAACCCACAGCTACTTCATATCTGCGTAAATATTCGGGACAGGCTCACTGCCGTGCAGCGGTCAATCAGGCATCGTGAACTTCGCATTCATGCACCTCCCTGCGAGATGTCCTGGCCGCCTTGGAAAAAGAGTTTGTCAACGGAGGAGAGGGCCGATATGACGAGCGATATAGGGTATTGGTTAGATAGAAAATCGAGAATGAAGGAGGCCCTTTCGAGGAGACTGGGGGCCATGACATTTGTGTGGAGGGCGAGGGTGGAGCTTGAGGATCAGCGGGTGATCATGTTGAAAGCTTTGCAAGCTGCCCGACAGGCTGCACCCTCCTTGAACTTCGTGTATGGCGACCTGAACGGACACGAGGAGGGGTGCGTCTGTGGCACTTGGAACATTAAGAGTACCGGCTCTGTTAGTCAAACCGGTTGCGAGTCCTATACACCTGAAGAGTGTAGACTGCGCTCCAGGATAGAATCTTTATACACTGGGGATTACCTTGTTTCTGTATGTACCGGAGGGCTTTTGGAGGGCCCGGGATCTGGGCTGCACGCTGTGGGCGCGACGGACATCCTTAACTGGGAGAATTCCAGTCAGCTGAGCACGAACCTTTAATTGTATATGGCGAGCACGTACAGCATTTTCGTGGCCAATTCCGGGTTCTCATGCCTTTCTTGTTGTTGAGTTCTTCACTCACTCTTTCTTGTAATCATCCGTTAAATCTACATATCTATTCCTCTCATGTGTGCACTAGGATCTCCGCCACCTTGCGGCTTGTTCCCTTTTTGTTCACATGAGTAGATAGATTGTAATAGAATACACTCCGCTACTTCTCAACTGTTGGATTGGTTGCAAAATACGACGATAGCTGACGAAAGTGCAGTTGTGACATCAGAAATAAGAACAGAGATAGGCGTTAACGTTCTGGATTCTTCCCATGATGAGAAAAAGTAAATAACACATTGATCAGATATGAAGGTAATATTAGTTAGACCCTTCATTACAGTTCGAATAAAAGAGTATCCCAAAACACGGTCTGTTGCGGGGCGTACCTACTCAACTACAGATCGCAATATTAAATTCTAGCACGAGATGCTCGATCGCGAGATGCTCGAGAAAAGCAGAATTGGACCCAAACTTCTGCTCCAACAAATATTGAGACCTCGCAAATATATGCTGTTCTGTTACACAAGTATGTGTGTATCTACATGGAAGGAAATGAAAGAGCGGGGAATCCATGGAAACTCTAGTGCGATTCAAAACTCACCCAGGTAAATCCCAGGCACCCTAAAGCTCAAAGCTTTATTTTTTCGATATCGAAGGATCAGTGATTGTATGCTCCGATAAGGTTTAGTAGGAGCAGACTGCTTAAATACAGATGGGTCCAGTGTGGTCCACGAGGACGCTCGAGGCGAGGTTTAACGATGTCCTCGAGCTTCCTCGTCCTCGTTGACCTTTGTCCTTGGCTGTCCTCGAGGTTGATCACTGCTGTCCTCGAGGTACCTCGAGGTACCTCGAGGATAATTCCGGGCGAGCAGAAAGCGGTCTTTATTTCAATTAAGAAACATATTCTATCCTTGATTAATATTAGTTGACCTCATCTTAATTCGGCACATTATATAAGTGTATAATATGCCAAGAATTGTCCTCGAGGGTCCTCGAGGCGAGGACAGATAGTGTCCTCGAGACTCCTTGTCCTTTTAGACCATTGTCCTTGAATGTCATCGAGGACACAAGGACGCTCGTCCTCGTGGACCACACTAGATGGGTCTTTCCGATTATAAATCTCCTCCGTGATGGACTCATCATAATTATGATAGAGACACACACATATATATATGTTTTACGACACATTCATATGTAGAAACGTACAAATTTATAACCACAACGCTTGATTTCAAAGCACAAATTGCACTTGCAATGTTCTCCACTCAACCGTCCGGTAGACTAATATGATCACCACATCGTCTGATTGGTAGTCGCCGGTGCCCAACTTCACATCTTAGTTGAAGGCGCAAGATTAGTAAACACTGAAATCCGATTCCCGCAAAATCTCGAGATCACTACCAGCGAGTCTTTCTTTTGTTTTTATACAAACTGATCTTCATTCGGATAGTTCCGGTACAGCCGGTGACCGATGTTCAGGTGAGTAGATTGTCTTCAGTTTTGCAACGAAAGAACTTACGATTCTAACAACGGTTTGAGATCTCGGTATTTTGCGGGCTTTTGAAATTTACACGCCAGTCCAAAGAACCTTTCCTCCAGTCCTCCACATGCACACCAACCTGTAATATAGAACCTGATGGATAGTATAAAAGACCACCCCCATAAATGAAACTCGTGCCCGTCGGCTCAAGCTATCATTATAGATATATTCCTCATATACAGCGTACATATCCAAAACACTCACCCTAAAAACCTTATAAAATATTGCCACCTCTCTTCTCCATCCAGTCACTTCTCACCTCGACGCATCGAATCATATCATTCCCATGGCATCCTCGCAAACCAACCCACTCTCTGAAGCTTCAAAGTCCAGTACAATCGATAACCGCCTTCCCCCAACCTGGCTACTCAACAATTACATTTCCACTCGTGGCGGGTGCAACTACCTCGCCCAGCTCGCAGCCATGCTCCCACCCACTGAAAGCACCCTGCGAGACAAGGCTCTCCGTACTCTGTACACACTCACCCGCGAGTTCTGCAACAAGCTGGAGCAAGCAGCATATAACCAGAACCTCGCTATTCCGGCTCTCCCTCCCATCTCAGAGAACTATGAGGACGAGGCTGCACTCCCGAGGGAGTTAATGATAGAAATAATCAAGCCGCATGCTCACGATAGTGTCAATGAGATTCTTGGCTACAATACTAGCCTGGCACGTGATAAGAAGGATGGTGGGTGTGGATGGGAAGTGCTGACGGTGGCGCTCTGTGAGAGCAATAAGCAGTTCGAGGAGTCATTGAAAGAAATGGGCGATGCGGCGGGGACTCGCGACGTCGGTGCGATATTGAGGTTCTACGGGCAGCTGGGGTGGGAGAACTCGGCGGATAGTATAGCTAGTGCACAGTGTCTGGCCGAGGCATCGGCGAGGTTGAGGAAAGAGAAAGGGGAGGCGTGGTGGACGGAGGAGGCGGAGCCGGTTATTGCAAGGAACAAGACGCTGTTGGCGAGTTATAAAATAGTTGGCATTGAGCAGTATTATCCTAGGAAACCGGATCAGGATGGGCTATAGGCGAATGTCTACTATTTTATTTGGTGTGTTTGGTTTTGGAATGCTCATCGACCTAACTAAGGTTTGAAACTTGGTTTTTTTTTTTTTTCAAAAAAGTATGTAGCTACACATTGTTAGAATAGGAATGTTACTTCAATATAATTTGCAGTCAATTTCTCTCTCTACCCAATCTTGCTATGGGCATAATAACTCTCATAAAGATATATATACATACTTAGCCGCTTCAAGTTTCATACACATTATAGTAGTAGTACCTCAAACTGATTACCTAGCTACACAGGCAATTCACATTGCCTAAACAAGTGTTTGAGATTAAGATTTCCAAAGGGATCCCTAATAAGGCCATCCGGATTGCCTAAGTAGGCAATTAACTTGTTTTCCTAGATCAAATTACATAAATGTATGTTTGAAAATTTGCCAGGCCAAGTTTATGAAAATATAAAGCTGTAAGTTCGGTAGACTTGGGCTAAAGCTTAGGAGTTTGCCGGCAGGTTTTAGCGGGATATCGAGTGATATACTGTGATTGCTAAGACCTTCATGTACGTATAAATCAATACATGTATCACGCCAAAATTAGTTTTAAAAAGGATCCAGGCAATTTAGGGATCAGCAGAAGTGTTCCTTCAATACTAAATTCTAACGAGCCACGGCCGGGCCCTCCCGGCTTCGTGTGGCTGTGCGTGAAGTTGTCATATTGCAACCCCGCCTTATCCCTTCGTCTGTCAGTTAAATGCTGCTACCCCAAGAAGAAGTAAACCTGGTGTGGCTTTACTAACAGATCTCGTTATCTCTCTTATCAAATAACAGATCTCGGATATAAATTTAATTCCTCTATTATTGGGTGGCAGCATTGACAGACGAAGGGATAATAGCTTTCCTGGTAGCCTTGTGCTCGACTGTCCATACGTCCGTTATCAAGGGTCGGTACAGAATCCTTTTTTCAAATTCCCTAGAACGATAGATGGCCGAGATTATAGGCGCTGTATCCGCGATAGCAGCCCTCGTACAGATCACTGGACTCGTTGCAAGCGCGGCATATGGATATGTTGGTTCGGTAAAAAAATGCCCAGGGCGAGGCGAAGAAACTTGGGGACGAGATCAAATCTCTGGAAGTTGTCCTACGGAAACTACAAACAAGTCCCGAATATCTCACATCCAGCTCTTATTCAGCCCTTGATGGTCGCTTCCGAGTATGTTCGGAGGAGATGAATGCTCTTTTAAAAAAGCTAGAAACGAAAAAGAAATCTTTCAGCCTTTTACGTCGCCGCCTGAAATGGCCACTGATGGAGAAGGAGACCACTCAGGCAATCCTGCAGATTGAGAGACATAAAAGCCTATTCAACCTTGCTTTGACTGCTGATCAATAGTTAGTAGGCACGGCTATATATGTTTAATCATGCTACTGGTTGTTTAGAATATTCTGAAAGATTGATAATACAGTTGTTTGTCGCACGCCATAAAGGTATTCTCGGAGAATACGAATACAGCTGTTGGCAATATCATGGAATCTTTGAAAAAGGAATTTTTAGATATCAGGCGTGCTAGACAGGAGGAGGAGTTATCTCGTATAGGTACGTTCCAGCTGAGTGGTCTATCTTACTTATATTGTAACTTATCGTCATCCATTCATATACTTTCACATTCCCAAGGATTAATATTAGTTTCATAAGGAGAGGAAGGAAGAAGGATATTAAAAGGAATATACCCAAATCCTACGGATCGGAGACACGCTGAGATAAACGGAAGACGCCACAAATATACGGGCAAATGGTTTTCCCGGCACCCAGATTTCCAAGCTTGGGTGGACAACAAGCTGAGAACACAAATGTTGTGGGGTCATGGTATACGTATGTATTAATATCAATCCTAATATTTTTCATTCTGAGGTACTAACACGATAGCTTCTACAAGCGGGAGCGGGAAAGACATTCATAGCGTATGTAATGCCTGACTGCGCATGCGTGTGGAAATTGTCTGATCAGCTGATTCTTGACCTTCGATAGTTCTCTTGTAATTGATGAACTTGAGTCACGTGCATCCGTGGAAAAATATGGGGTGGCATACATCTACTTTAACTTTAAGGAACAAGAGCAACAGCGTCCTATACAGGCTCTATCGAGTCTAATCAAGCAACTCCTAACCCAGGTTAAAGGATCCATATTTCCTGCAGAAGCGAAAAAGCTGTATGACGAGTTCATATTACAGCAAAAACAGCCTCCTTTTCAGTATCTACAGCAGGTCCTATATTCTATATCACAGAATTTCCCTCATGTATTCTTTGTCTTTGATGCACTAGATGAATGCGACGAGAAGATTCAACGAAAGGAGCTTCTTCCATTCTTTGATGGCCTTGCAAAAATGAAGCATATTAGCCTTTTCGTGACCAGTCGGCCATATCCTCGCGATATCTACGAATGTCTGACGAAAACAAACGCTGAAAAAAATTGAGATCTCGGCCAACGAAGAAGACATCAAAATGTTTATTGCGGAAACTATTAATGAAAACTCCCACGCAAAGGCGTTGATTCAAGGGGATCTCCGAGAGCGTATCGTCTTGAAACTTATGGATTTATGCAAAGGAATGTATGTACCACTTTCAGGTTAAGCCAGGGTTCTGCTAATCAAATCTCTATTAAGGTTTCTTTTGGTTCATTTTCACATCAATGATCTTTGCCAGTACACGACTGCACGAGAAGTTGATGACGCGCTAAAAATGTTGCACACAATCACCCCGGCAGAAAACCCTTTACATGAGATGTATGACAGGGTAATAGGAAACATAATCCAGAGGCAACATCCAAGTCGAATGAAGCTTGCGAATAGGATCTTATCCTGGCTTGTAGCAGCAAAAGAAGTCTTACAATCTGAAGAGCTACGTATGGCAATAGCCACGGGCCCCAATGATCAAGACCTACCGAGCGAGGGCGACATGCCAGATAATACGATGATCCTCGAGGTTTGCGGCGGACTAGTGGTGATAGACGAAATCACAGCCATTGTTAGACTTGCCCATTACTCTGTTCAGGAATATCTTCTCCAGAGTTCCACTTCACAGCCGCATCTTATTATCCTAGATTTCCTCGTAACCTATCTCTGTTTCCACCACCATAAACCCAACTAACTTATGGGATTCCGCGGCAATAGCACAAACCCTTATCTTTGGGGGTTTAAAATCTTCCCCGATTTATACTTGTTGAAGTATTTCCATCAGCACCTCAAAGCTTGCGATGAAAGGTCATCAACAGAGATTTACCTAAAGCTTCTCAGGAATAAGAATGCATTAGCGTATTACCAAGCGCTTACTCAAGACCTAACTGACTCAAGACGTTGGAGTGGGATGATGGATCGCTGGAATATTAAGTTTCAGAACGCCGAGTGGATAATTCGTCTTTGTTGTACATACGCCTATGAACGTATGGTGCCTCCTTTACTTGAGGCTTCATTCCTAGGACACCTAGGCTCTGTCAAGGCGCTTCTTGAGGACGATAGATATTGTAATCTCTCTGCAATGGATAATGGCATGACAGCACTGCATCATGCAGCGTTCATGGGCCACGATAATATCATTGATTTCTTGCTAGAGCATGGACAGGACTTCAACTCTTCTGATAAATATGGACGGACGCCGTTTGCCTTGGCACTAGTCAAGGGACATGAAGATACGGCTAGGCTTTTACTCAAGAAGGGCGCCACACCGGTGTCAACCGTGCCAGGTGCAGTAACGCCATTACATATTGCAGCTTACCACGGATTAGGAGAAATCGCGTTATTATTGATTCATGCTGGGGCTGATGTTAATGCAGAAGGCATAGGAGGGATGACCCCTCTACACTTGGCTATAAGTAATAGTAATTATTGCCGGGGGGGTGGAGAGTCGATGGTAGAGCTTCTACTTGATCATGGTGGATCGAAGCATCTTCTTACAATTTTGGAAACATTAAGGGGGATACGCCCAAATTCTTCCCACCATCATCTAGCGTTGCGGAAGGTGCTTGAGCTACTTAAAAAAAGTCGGGACAAAATTCCAGAGGGTAATGTTGTTGAGAAATTCACTATTTGCCCTAATACCCGATAGCACCAAGCACGTGAAGGTAAACAGTAGAAATCTGATCGGTGGGTCGACTAGGAACAGCCATTTTGGAAAAATTGAGATTCAGGGCGGAACTAAGGCTTTTCCGTGATGCGGAAATCACGTGTCATTCTGTTCGGTACGCAGAGGCTGAGGCCGCCTTGGCTAAGCTACATGAAGAATCTTGTTAGGATTCTGGGGATCATGTGGGTAAGACATCTATGATTTTCCTACGCTATCCTAGAGCACTAAGTAACTCTAGGAGCACAAGAGGATTCTGCTGATCAGGTGAGAGTAGGAGCAACCCTTCAGAGCGGATTGAGGCAGCTTGCACAAATCAGGGTCGCTAGTCATAATCTTGTCTTAAAATATCGTTTTCCTGTGCGCCCGGGTTCTGCCTATGCGTGGGAAGTTCTAAGAGCACAAGAGCGTCTTGTTGATCGGTCGAGACTAGGAGGAACACGCATTAATTACATATTTACTATAAGGGATCTGTTACAACGAGAATTTGATTATGAAATAAATACATTATCTAGTGAGTACGCAAGAATCGAGGCCACCTTGGCCGAGCCACTTGCAGAATCTTATAAGAATTCTGGAGATGGTGTACGTGTGGGTAAGACATCTATGATTTCCCTCCGATATCCTAGCGCACTAAGCAGCTCTAGTTCGAGCATAAGAGGATTCTGATTAGTTGGGCTTAGGAACACCCTCTCAGAAAGACGAGGTAGCGAGTCTACTCCAATACCCTACCAGCAGCCATGATCACGAAATTAGATCCCTTTCTTATGATCTCAAAAGCCTCGAGCGGGAGTGGATTGAGAGAATGACAGAACCAGACCCAGACCCAATAATTCCAGGACTCGACGATGCTGGTGAGAAGCCTATTTTTCACCCTATTATCCAGACCGCCAAGTACACCTAAGGCCATAAGAGGATTCTAATGAGTTGAGGTAGGGCCCTCCCGGGTACACGAGATAGCCAATGATGCAGAAACATAAGTGTATGTGTCTTCTCCCCCTATTCGCTCCTTTGCAAATAAATCCTCGATTTCTTTTCTTTATTTCGTGCAGCTGACGCTTTGCCCAGTGCCTCCGTTTGGGGTGAAGTAGAGTTTTTGGGGGGAGATACATGCTGGAAAGAACCTAAGGACTGGAAGGACGTGTCGGGACGGTTATTTATATTTTTGGAAAACGCTCAAATTGTGAAATTACGTACATATATCTATAGAAGATTGATTTGCAAATGTTACAACTAGTATGACGAACGTGCTGATCGTTATCCTGGAGGTCATGATTGTCTATGCTCCGCAGAGACCACAAGAAGCGAAGGAACCGCCACCGCGCTATGTTCTTGGAATAAAAGATAGAAGTGGTCCAGTTACTATCCCCTACTTTTGGTGTGATTGTGTGGTTGGAAATTGGTATTATCCATACCTTCATATAAAAATAGTCGATCAACACCACCAAAGGAAATACCGAGTTTATATGTCTGGGATCTAGACTAAGGTAGAGATATACGTGGGTTTAAGTGTCTGGTCGATTGAAAATCTCTATATACAACCGGTGGGTATGATCGCCGCGGACTGACGAAGCCCCTGGTCCCCGGTACTACTGTGACCCCCCGCCAACTAGAGTATCCTCCTGTATTTCTCGTGAAATTCTAAATGCTGTAATAGTACCAAATTTAGTATCTCCACCCGCCCACCCGCCCCCCTCCCTCCTCCCCCCCCTGTAAAAATATGGCATTGCGACATCGGTTATGTATGGTAATTACTCATGTATAAGGGATGACTCATAGATGGAATAAGGAGGCTTAGCGCTAGGATTATGTAATCAGGGGATCACGTGGTACTAAGAACTATCTGTATATAAGGAGCAACAAACTCCCATAGTTGTCGCTGGAACTCAGCGGCGCAATAGTATCTTCTTTGCACTATAAACATATTCCTCACAAAGGTCACGTGTTCAAACCCTCCTCAAGTCGTCTATTCTCCCACACTCCAATCCACACCCCCCTCTTCAGTATGCATTTGGGCCGGCCTTTAATATATGTGAATATAGTATATTAACAGATATTGACTTCGAGCAGTCAAGATCAATTGTAAGTACACGGGCAGCCTCTCAAGTATGTCTTGGCACACTTCCTCCCCGGTGAGGTTATCGTCGTCCTGGTGCGCGCGGTGGATAGAGCTATGGCTGGCTGGTGCTAGCCTCACACCTCGAGGAGGTTGGGTTCGTATGCGGCGCGACTCATGATCAGCTAGGCTATCAAGGCCTAGTGATGCTGGCTGGCGAGCGCTGGCTCTGGGTTGGTTCGTTCTGGCTTGAGACTTACAGTGGAGTGGCCTTGCCTGGAAAAGATTGAGGTAAGTGTCTTTCTTCATACTCTGAGGTTCCTTCGACGTCGTCGCACGTCTTGGCGCCAAGCACCAATAACACGAGTGACAATCCATGATGCCGAAACAGAAATCGTCCCTGACTCAAAACGCCCTAAAAAGCCATATTAGGGCTACATACAGTACCGTAGATATTTTTTTTCGCCACCTCCAAAGTTTAATAACCCGTCGCGAGAGCCCCACTCTATTGTTCGGCGGCCGGCGGCTGAAGCGAGGTATGTAACCTAACCTAACCCATCGGAACGTTGATTAAGCGAGGTGGCTTGCCCTTCAGCTTGCCAACCCTGCGCCGGCCCTGGCGGTGGCTGTGGAGGTGCCCTATTGTGTGATCTTTTGCACTTCAGCTCTCGCGGAATGTTCTTTCCCCGTGATGCAAATAATCAGATAACCAGAGGTTATGGGCTCCATAGAGTAGGGCACGATATACAAGTCAGTCAGCTGGGTATGTAGGCATACGTACTCCACATCAAGCGCCAGGGCAACTCCTCACCTAGAGTAGGAAATGGTTCGCTTCTTCTATCCATATCCTCCAGAAGGCTTGTTTTGTTTGGCGAGAGTGAGGTTGAGTTGGGCGAGTTCCCCCCACATTGCTAGCCGAATCTCAATCTGAGACATTTCCGAGTGTTGCATGTCTGAGATTCAACCACGCGCTACCAGGGCTGCGGAATTTCAACACTTGCGAGAACCTTAATCGCTACATGTACCTAGCGCTACATGCCAAGATCGGATAACTTCATCTAGTAATATCTACGTTTAAGTAAGATGTGTGAACTTGTGTATGTACATGTGCTTGCTCTAATTAATATATGTACCTTGGACTTGAGGAGCTATATAAACCGTGTGGTTCATGGGGTACGGTGAACAACATTCGCTGTTTGTATCCAGGTATTAGCGTCGAATCAAACGTGCCGCTACAAAGTGCGGATTCTTCTCATGCACGTAGCCCTACGTATACGCCATCTAGACCCGTGCCAGACCAAGGATGTAGCTAGCACATAAGGCAGATTGATGAGTTTAATGTAGGACAGAGTAAACTGTATGCAAATATTACCTACATTAGGCCAAGTGGACCCAGTCCAAGCCACGAAGACCGCTCTATGTAGAACGTACCAGCTGAGAATCAAGCCACGAATGAAACTAAAGATACCGAAAGAGGACATCTTAAACTTCAGCACCCACTAAACCTCAACACCTACTGAAAATCTCACGATGTATCGCCCTGGTACTTGCGAGCGCTCGAGCTGAGGATGCAAGCCACAATTTTCTATCAACTCGGGACCTCCGAACGATCTGAATCAGTAGGCAGCTGTTGAAACGAAGCTATGATGTATTGAACTAAGGGCGTGACCTTAGTATATCAGGGCAATTGCGGAGGTTGAAGAATATATAAAGGTTGATATATATATCTTCTTTTGAGAATTAATCACCGACACAGACAGTAATCTCAAGTACTTCAACTCCTCCTACAACTTTCCACAACAACAATAAAACAACCCAGTTTCTCATCCTTCAACACTTTACTTCATCATGCCAGACTACTCTTGCTCCTTCGTAATCAGGAACCATACCGACGCGCCGTTGGCGTTTGTGTGGAAATCTGAGCCCGTTCACGGTCATTGGGAAGATGAAACGATTCCTGCTGCTATCGCCCCTCATAACGAAGCTATAATCAGGTTAAAGGACAACTTTGGGTGTACGTTTTCTCCTCTATTCTGATTCCAAGATGGTGCTGATAACAGGCTCTAGTCGAGGGTTCCGAGGGCTCCATTACCTTCGGTGTGAAATGGCCTTTTGCTGCTCCAGGTCCCAACATCTTGATGGGCATGAGATTGCCGTATAGCGCCAGTGAAGATTTTCCGGCTATAAGCTGGGCAAATATTGAGTACGATCCGCAGGAAATATTGGAGATTCATCAGGAGCATCCTCCACGGACCGGTGTTAATCCCATCACCGGTAAGCTTCCCTATTACAGCGAATAATAGTTAAGATGCAATATGTGAGCAATATTGATTGGGGTGTATCATTGTAGGAATTTTCAAAATCCACTATAGGGAGAACCCGTCTTTCCAAGTCAATCTCGATAGGATCAGTCTTCCTAATCCGCTTTTCCCCGTCTTGGAGGAGAATGGCCTTTGTCCCAATTTTGACATCGACCACCCCCTGTGGTCTGCAGCGGAAGCGGGGAAGGCCATCGCCGCCACAACGTGCGTGAACTCTACTCCAAAGATCAAACTGGTCGGAAAGGTCGACCCCAAGCTCGCAAAATTCGAACTCAAGATGGTTGGAGAATGCACCGACTACGGCCACGGCAGCATTTCCACGATTGAAGCCGATCTTCCGGTGGACAAGAACACTGGCGACTACGAAGTGCTGGTTCCTCTCGCTCTCAACAACACTCACCCGGGCATTGCTTGGGGCTTCCAGGGAACCATCAGCTGGAAGGTACTAATCAAGAATACTGGAAAGTCTATCCCAGTCACAACTTCCCCAATTGAAATCTATGCCGTCTCCCGTGCATTGCACAAATTCCTCGCGGTCGAAGGGATCCCACTCCATCTCCTCCGCTTTATTGTCTTGCCAACCCGGAACTGGCCGCAAGCGCCCGGTGGAGTCACAAACTATGTGGAGTATGTCGTGAAGCGCATCCACGGGGAATCTGGCTTCAAATATGACGCAGTGGCAGGGGGCACCTCATATGCATCATTGATGGATGCCGATCTCACCGACCCGGGGTCTTTCCAGCTGGCCAAGTGGCTCAAAAACCAGCAAATAACATCAAAAAAGGAAAAGGAATGCCATGTGAACTGCTTCGACCAAGCGGGTATCGTGGGGATCTGTCTGGGCTTCTTCTTTCCCGATAATTATGAAGATAGATCACAAGGACTACGGTGGTTCATGATGTTCCCGTTTGGATTTGTGGAGGGCGATCTTGTTGGTTGGGGACCGGTAAACAGCCCATTTTTTAAAGGAGATAAAGACATGATGATACTGGATGCGAAAGACCCCAAACGCACGGCCTTCAAGACGCATGTGTTCATCACATATAATGGGAAGGTCCTTGATGCCACGTGTGGGCCCAAAACAGGCACCTTAACACTCAACGAATACATTGCAACGGCCATTGATCACACCGAGGGCTTAGGTACAGACATTGACTGGTATAAGCTTAAGGGTCCTGGAACCTTCAGTGCCATTACACTCCATTCGACTATGGCAGACCAAGGTGGAAACAACGATTTCAATCAAATCTCGAGGGATAACGATGGAGATGCAGATTTTGAGGAGATCGATACGGTCATCGAGGCGGTGATTGAGGAAGTTACCGTTGGTGCGAACAAGCCAAAATTCAACTCCAAAGAGGATCTGATCACACGATTTAATGTCAATAAGCTCCTGGAAGAAATGCAGAGTACCTTTGAGGGTTCCTTCAAGATTAACGGTGATATCTACCATAGTCAAATCACCGATTTCAAGAATGGGGGTCATCATGTCTGCTGGAATCTGAACTTTACGGATACAGAAAATAAAACGCATGCTGTTAGCCTCGATATATTTATCTCCAGGCGCACGTTTACTTCCCGGTTGGCATTGAGAAGATTTATGAGGTTGAGTAACAACCCCGGCAATGCGGAGGTGAAGACAACAAAAGGTGGTGTCAAGTATCAACTTGAAGAGGGAGCTCTCTCTCGTGCTTACTGGGTTTACGGAACCCTGTGTGTTAATCTCTCCGCACACAAAGACCTTAGTCACGATGCCTTCGTGTCCGTGGTGGAGGAGCTTCAAAAGTTTTTGGGGAAGAATGATTCTTCTGATGAAACGGAGGTATCAGTGAGCAAGCCAGTTTATAACAAAGAAGAGCAAGCAAACTTGAAGGTTGGAAAAACAATGAAAGTTGGCATAAATGTTTGTACCCGCACCATTGAATAGTGAGGTTACTGATTGCTAACTATCTTTACAGGTGGAGAGGGCAGTCGAATTCAAATGGTCCTATATTTACGGGGTAAGCCTTAAAAAATGGCCCTAATGGGATGTTTGGCAGTTTAGTGATATGCTGATACTTTACCTTAGAACGTCGTTGTGGTGGGTGTCGAGAAGCCAAGCGGAGTGTCGAATACCTACACCTTTGAACTGTACGCCCGAAAGCCCGGCTTCGATAATGTAACCTTCACGTTTGTGGACGAGTTCTACAGACATAATAGCGCGAGCATGTATGTCAACGTTGAGCCGTGAGGAGATTAATGGAGGTTTGGATACCCGATTATACCAATGCGTCGAGCAGAATCGACCGAGGCGTACAGGTGTCCATTTTAGGCATTGAGTGATGGGTTTTCTTATGGTTTTGTGATGGATTCTCTTATTTCACTTCTTTGGTTCTGTTGTTTTGGATTTTGCGCTTGCTTGACCTTTTTCTTTTTTTTTCGTGATTGCGAGTGATTGCAAGTGATTGTTCTGTTGTGTTTTGTTTTAGCTATATATACGATCTTGTGAATGCAATATGATGATTACATATATACAATATTCAAGTACAAAAACCTTTACCAATTCTCACCTCGGAGTCTGTCCGGCTTATCCTGGCTCAACGGGCCTTGGCATTTACAGGTTGTGATTACTACTATATATATGAATTACAAGCCATTCACCACTTTTTAACTCCATAGTGTCATCATCTTACGAATCTCTGGTCTCTATGTTCTAATTAGGAACCGTGGCTCATTCATCGACTTCACCTTCTCAATTTGTTTTGAAACGGGGGCCAGCAAAGCTGCGGCCGGACTTATTGGTGGTGAGTTAGGGTAACCATTTGGATGTAGGTTTTTCCTCATCGATAGTTTTTTTGATTTTTTTTTAGTACATATGTAGATAAATATTTTAGTTAATTATCTTCGTTCCCTCTTCGTCATACAATTGATGAAGTAATCAGTCATTCAATCAATTCCCACTTCGTCACTTTCACGAAGTTTTGAACAATTGATAATCTGTTGAAATGAGCATGATCATCCATATATCGGATTATTCTGTAAAAATATGGCATTGCGACATCGGTTATGTATGGTAATTACTCATGTATAAGGGATGACTCATAGATGGAATAAGGAGGCTTAGCGCTAGGATTATGTAATCAGGGGATCACGTGGTACTAAGAACTATCTGTATATAAGGAGTAACAAACTCCCATAGTTGTCGCTGGAACTCAGCGGCGCAATAGTATCTTCTTTGCACTATAAACATATTCCTCACAAAGGTCACGTGTTCAAACCCTCCTCAAGTCGTCTATTCTCCCACACTCCAATTCACAGGTTATGAGCCCGGGTTCTGCCAAATAGAATCCGCACTACACCATCGCCACCTCGCTTAACTCAACAACACTTCATACAACATCATGCCTTCAGAAGGAGAATCGTCATCCAAGGCTGCTGAGATCAAACCCTCAGAGACAACAGCTACCAGTAACATTCGTCTCAAGTTTGATGGACTCCCTAAACTACAAGGGCAATCCAACTATCAAACTTGGGCGAGTGCCTGGAGGATAACATTCGACACTGTAGACTGGTGGGAAGCGTTGAGCATCGAGAACCCTGACGAGAATGACACCGAACTCAGCAAAACCGAGATAAAGAAAGCTCGTAAACAAATGCACAGCCTTCTCATCTCTGCTGTATGCGAAGAAATACAACCAACAGTCGTCTCTGCCGAAAATGCATTCTACGCATGGAAGGCGCTCAAAGACCTCTACGATCGTGTCTCACCCAACACCACGATCACCCTCCTCAGCCGCGTCCTAGACACGAAGATGCAAGAAGGCGGATCACTGACCGAGCATCTCGCGACCTTCGATGCGAACTGGAATACTCTCAAGTCCAGATGCCAAAGCGCAGACCACAAACTCGCTCAGGCTCTCCTACCCCTCACCAAATCCAACGAAGCCATGGCGGCATTCCTCCTAAGTTCGCTACCCAAATCGATGAGCAACGTCGTCGACAACATCCAAACCAAACAGGATGTTACCTACGAAGACGTACGCCAACGACTACAGAACCTGGATGAGGTAGCCCCTCAAACAGGGAACAAGGTACTCCATACCAGGAGTACTACAAGTGACAAGGAATGCACCTGGTGCAAGAAAAGGGGTCAGCCTTACAAAGGCCACGAGTACACGGAGTGCAGAAAGCTCAAAGAACAGAACAAGAACAGAAAGGGAAGGAGAAAGGACAACTCGGCATCGGTTGTAGTAAATGACTCTACAACCACTATCTGTATGGTACGCCACGACATCTCCCAACCCCTTACTTGGATCCTTGATTCTGGAGCGACCTCTCAAGTCACACCCTTCCAAGACCAACTCATCGACATCCGACCTCACACCGGCAATGTCCGAACAGTTGATGGAACCAACCATGCTGTCACCGGAATGGGAAGCGCTAGTTTCAGCTGCCACCTTCCCGATGGAAGCAGATCTTCCATACTCCTCACCGATGTGCTGTTGGTCCCAACCTTGGGAAATGTGGGATTGGTCTCAGAAACCATGCTCGACAAAAAGGGATTTAGAACGGAGTCAGGAGGAGGAAGCAAGTTGGTTACAAAAGAAAAGAAAGGAATAATTTGGGCAAAATTGGAGAAGGGACTTTGGAATGTACAAGTAGTTAGCAATACAGTTCGTTTGACCTCTTACGATGAATGGCATCAAGCGTTAGGCCACCCTGCGACACTAGAAAACTTGTATCACGACATTCAAAGGCTGCCTCCCAAACCAGAAAGTTTCCACTGCAGTCAATGTGCACTATCAAAAAGCGTACACAAGAAACCTGCACCAATTAGTACTAGATCCAAACGACCATTCGAACTAATCCACTCCGATCTATCTGGAAAGTTCAGTATACAGTCACAAGGAAAAGTTCAGTACTATATGTCCTTCATCGATGATTTCACCCGCTTCGCATGGATATACCTCCTGAAACAGAAAGAAGACGCAAAAAAGGCCATCAAGGATTACGTTACAAGGATCGAGAAACAGTATAGCACAACAATACTGAGATTCAGAACGGATGGTGGTGGTGAATACATCAACAAGGACATAACGAACTACTTCGATTCACAAGGAATAGTTCACGAACAGACTCCCCCATACACTCCTGAATCTAATGGAGTTGCAGAACGATTCAACAGGACGGTAACCACAATGGTCAGGTGCATGATCATGGACCACCCTAAGTCGTTATGGGGAGAAGCATATGCAACAGCTGTTTACCTCAAAAACAGGCTACCTCACAGTACGCTTAAGGGAAAAACCCCCTTTGAAGCCCTGAAAGGAACCAAGCCAAGTATACAACACCTTCAACCATTCGGCAAAAAATGCTATGTCCACATCCCAGAAAACTCTAGGCCAGCAGGAAGCAAACTAGCACCCCGAGCATATGAAGGAATCATAGTTGGATACTCAGACAGTAATAAAATATACCGGATCTGGATAGGTACACAACATAGGGTAATTGAAAGTCGGGACGTCACATTCCCCCCTCCTGAATCAGGGGAAGTCTCAGTGGAACTCGACTTCATCCTCAGCCTGAAACCAGAAACGGCAAATGCACCATCAGACGACGGATACGAATCAGAAGACAGGTCTGATCCAGAACCCGAGTCAAATGCAATCGAAGAGAACCGTACAGAAATGCCAGGATTGTTCCCGGAATCACCGGAACAGGTTAGACAACCACCACCGGCTACACCACACAAGGGAAAACAACCTGCCGTACCTATGGGACAACCGCGAGACCCAAGAGACAACTGGGAGAAAATTCCAGCACCAGTCGTACCATTCAAAGGCTTCAAAGGAAAACCACTTGCGTCAACGACACCCAAAGGTACACCACCACAACCTCCAAAACGATCAGATCGAATACGCCAGCGAAAAAATAGAGAAATTGAAATGGAAGTACGAAGGAAAGAGTATGATGAGAAGGTAGTAGAACAACAGAAGTTACTTACGAGTTATATCGAAGATGTGAAAGAAAATGGCCCAGGAGACAAAGCCACTGAACAAGAATTAATCGATCAATACAAAGAAGACTTCAGACGTTATAGGGCTGAGTTAGACATGGAATATCGAGACATATCCAAACTCCCCCCGAACTACCAAATACACCTCGTAACAGAACCTTCCACCTTCAATCAAGCTATGCAGAGCGACGATCAACACCTATGGAAAAAGGCGATACAGACTGAGAAAGATGCCCTTGACAAAGCCCACACCTGGGGTATTGTCAACAGACCATCCAACCGAGCAGTAGTCAAAGGAAAATGGGTATTCAAAGTGAAACACAACGCGGACGGAACAATCGAGCGGTACAAAGCAAGGTACGTTGCTAAAGGCTTCACCCAAGTACAGTACCAAGACTACGATGAGACCTTCGCCCCCGTTGCACGATATGATTCTCTACGACTCCTACTGGCACTAGCTGCACACAACGGTTGGATACGACAACAAATGGATGTCAAGTCAGCCTTCCTCTATGGTGTACTCAAGGAGGAAATCTACATGGAACTGCCTGAAGGCTACAGGCAGGACAACAAGGTTTGTAAACTTCGAAAATGCATATACGGACTAAAGCAATCACCCCGTGAATGGTATGCTTGCCTAGCAGACTCCCTTCAACGGAAAGGATTCATCCCAGCCAAATTCGACCCATGTGTCTTCATACATAAGAACCACCATCTATACATATCGGTGTATGTAGATGACATCATGATATTCGGACCCGACTCCCCATTCAGAAAAGAAATCAGACAACTACTCAAGGCAGATTTCGAATGTACGGATCTCGGTAACTCGAAGTTCATACTGGGAATAGAAATTACGGTAACCAAAACGGTATCACACTATCACAACGCGCATACATCAACAAGATCCTGGATAAATTTGGAATGAGTAACTGTAAACCAGTTGGTACACCACTCGAACCGAACCTCAACCTTCACAAAGGCGAACCGGAAGACCAAATCGAGAAACCAACTGAGTACCAATCCATAATAGGATCACTGATGTATGCGAGTATAGCTACCAGACCTGATATCACCCATGCCGTTACCGCTCTCTCCCAGTACTCCTCATGCCCAACCGAGGACCACCTACGAGCAGCCAAGCGAACTCTCCGATACCTCAACGGAACCAAAGACTGGAACCTGTTCTACCCGAAGGGAAATACTAGAACACTCGACGGATTCTCAGACAGTTC